GCTCCTCAACCAATGCAAAACATTTCTTCACAGTTTGACCCAACCACCGTTCCATTGGGAATCTAGAAATATCATTGGCGATCCTCCATGTATGATTCTCGGCACCAGTCTCAACCTCGCTACTGAAAGAACCAAGCTGAGAGGCTGCCTGTTCACTTTGAACAACGTATCTATTATCGCTGCTTGCACTTCACTCGAATGTATGATTCCAAGGTTCAGTGGCGTTCGGTATATGCTCATGTATCCAGTGATCGCCTTGGCCTTGAGGTGCTTAGGTAAGGGGTCCCAGGTGCTGGCTGCAAACAAGAACTTGGACCCAGCATATGCTCCACTAGATCTCACTTTGTGTGTGAGCTCCTCCTCCTCTTCCTCCTCCTGCTCCTCCCTCGATCCTCCCAGGGTGGCCGACCCTCCGCGACCCTGGCTCACGAACTCTGTCTTGGCCTCGCGCCTTCTCCCAGCAGGTCGGGGGTGCAGGCGCGGAGGGTGCCGCGGTAGCGCGGCACTTGCCGCGCGGAAGGTGCGGAAGGTGCGGGTCGAGTTCAGCGGCAGCCATGCCAAGCGACACCCTGCTTGCTTCCAGGGTGCCATGGGTTTCTCGGGTTTCGATAAATCTACGGTGGAAAAAGCGTGTGACGCCCCCACACCCAAAATCCATGGACAGCGTGGGGTCTCAGGGCTGGGTTGTTTCGAGCTCCTGCTGTATGATGGCGCCCTCCGAGGAAGACACAACTGCACGAACAGAAGACTCCGAAGGTCCGCGCCGATGTCTTGGATCTGCGCCGGGCTCCCCCTGGCGGCACCTCCAGCGACGACCCTGGCGCACTCCGCGCGCCAGAGACGGGCCCAGCGCCCATCCAAGGCATCCCTGCGGACCCTTCGAAAGCTCGTGCCTGTGCAGCTGTTGCGCTTCTCCTGGAATGCGAAGATGAATGCGCAGATGGCGATATGATAACGTAGGGCTACGATCACGAGATGCGCGTGAGCCCGTCACGCCGCATCGCCCTCGGGGATGGTTTACACATCGGGTTGAGACCAGCTCGTCGCCGTCGTCATCGGCATGGAGATTGCTTGTTCGTCCTCTCCGCAGTCCTTCCGAGCGGCAGAACATATGCTGTGTGGTTCCCCAGGGTGGACCTTTCTTGCTCGTAACCCTTCAACCCCGCATGTCCGATGGCCATTCGGAGATGCCTGGGGCGCCGGTCACTCAAAACAGCCCCCTGGGATCCCGTTTTTCATATGCCGAAAACCAGGCCCGGTGCCCTGTGGCCGCATACCACCAGGGCCATCCAGCGTACGCGAAGGTTGCTCCCGCCCCTCTCCTGCATCCCATCCCGGTTCTCGTTTCGATTCCTCCGATTCGATTCGATTCGATTTCGATGGCTTCCGATTCCGATTCGAGTCGGCTTGGGGTTCCGATTTGGGTTCCGATTTCTAGTGGAGGCAAACTATCCTGCCGATGTCCGCCGATTCGACTTTTCCCGACTTGTCTGCCGATTTCCGCCGATCCGATTCATGTCTATCGCCGATCCGACTTATCGATTCGATTCTGGGCTCTCCTGCCCCTTCTCCTGGTGCTCCCCTTGAGAACGACCTGACCAGCCTGAAGCTGCTGGAGTACTTCGACGCGGACTGCACGCCCACCGCACCGCCGCTGCCGGTACCCTCGACTGCAGGATATCCGAAAAGCGTCGAACAATAGTCTGGGGACGATTTTTCTATTAGTGGTTTTCTGTTTGTACATTCTCTGACCACTTTTATTTTTTCGTCCAAGATCCACCTGTAGGAGGACACGCCCGACCTAACCCGTCGCCTGTCCCCCCCTGCTGAAAGAAGGCCTCACGGCCGGCGCCGCCGACCCTGAAGGCGGGACCTCCCCCCCACGCTGGCGCCCCCTCCTCGGGACCCGCCAGGACCCCAGGGGGGGAAGGGGGGGCGGCATTCCGGCCCAGGGCCCCGTATCTGGACGCCCGAAATGGGTACCGAAAGAATGGGTACAATGCCCAGCAGCGGATCTTGTTCATTCTGAACAGCAGGACTCGCCGTCCGCGCCGCCGCGGCCTGTGTCCATTCGAGGCAGAAGGCCGCCTGCCCAACAGCGGCCGCTGCTGGTTTGAGACAACATTTGTTGTTGGGCACTGTACCCATTCTTTCCGTGCCCATTTCGGGCTTCCAAATGAGAAGCCGGCAGCGCAGGGAATGCCAGCTTCCTCTCCACGGCCCCGGGTCAGGGGGCGCCGCAGCGACTTGCTTGAGCCGGCAGCGTGTCCGTGAGCGTTTTCCCGATCGTTCCCAATGCGCGCGCGGGAAGCCGTCTAAGCAGCTCTGTCGAAGCTCCTTGGGAGCTCCTGCGAAGCTCCTTTTCTAGAGCTTGCAATCTCTCCAAGCATCCTTTCAAGCGTCCTTGCAAGCGCGCCCCTTTAGCTTGCAATAATTTCCGGATCAGCTCTCTAAGAGCTTAGAGGGTTTCAGATTGGAAGCGGGCAGCACAGGGTAGGCAGGCTTCCTCTCCACGGCTCCGGGTCAGGGGGCGCCGCAGCGACTTGTTTTAAGTTGCAGCGTGTTCCGGAAGAGCTCTCCTAAGTATTCGTTCCCAAGACGCGTGCGGGAATCCTTTCCGCAGCTCTTTTGAAGCTCTTTGGCAGCTTCCACGAAGCTCCTTTCGCGAGCTTGCATGCTCCCTGAGATCCGCCGTTGGACAACAAAAATGCAACATCGCAAAAAATCACGACCGGAGCCCCGGACCTCATCTTCCTGCGTTATTTTTCGAGCCAGATCGACATGTATGCGAAAACGCCCGTCGTGAAAAAATTGTAACGCCAGGATCTCAGGGTGCCCCGGCATCCTTCCAAGCGTTCTGGCAAGCGTTCCAAGCGTCCGAGGAGTGCACCTTTCTCCCCCCCACATGTACCCCCCTTTCCTGCAGTGGAGACCCATGCCAAGAAACACCCTGCTTGCCTCCAGGGTGCCCTGGATGTCGTGGGTTTCGATGTTTCTGCCATGGGAAGCGTGACGCTCCCACACCACAATCAGTGGACGTCCTGGGGTATCAGTGGTTGGGCTCCTCGTGGCAGGCTTCTCGTGGTCGAGCCCCGGCTTCCCGTGAGACGGCGGCGGCTCCGCCGGCGGAAGGCGGCGGAAGGCGGGCAGGTGCGCCGAGTGCGGCCTGAGCGCCCACCACGGTCAGCCCGCACAGCAAGTCAGAGGAGGAGAAGGTCTTCTCAGAGTTTGGCCCAAGAGGAGAGAGTTGTTCGGCCTGGGGATGTAGGAAGAAGGAGAACAAGGATACTACGAATGATGACAATGCTATGAATATGATGAGTCAGAAGACGAATAATCAGCATGCCGATAGCAACAATAGTACGATTGCGACGAGGAGGAATACTAGTAAGACTAATAATGATATTACGAATAATGCGAATCATTTATTAGTAATCAAGGTACACATACCGCTACCCTCCGCCCGTTCTGCCTTTTTGGGTTTCCTGGAAGGCCCTGGTCGCCACCGCCGGAGTCGCCTCGGAATGCTGATCAGAACGCACCCCAGGAGAGGTCCGGGGAGTAGCGGTATCGGTACCTTTTGGTTTCCCCAGTAAAGATGAGCGACTTTCCAAGGTTGCCCGCGACTTTCCAGGGTTGCCCTTGCATCCTCCCCCTTCGGCCCATCCTTGGCCGCTTTCGCTGGCCGCGCCCCGCTGGCAGAGTGCCGACGTGGCCCTCCGAGGCTCTTGAGTCCTCACCGCCCATCCTTCTTATGCGGGTTGACTGCAGGGGGTGGGGCCTCGGCTGCTCCTGGCAGGGCCCCTCCCACAGAGGTGGTGCGTGCGTGCGGTGCGGGGTCGGGGCAGAGTCCAGGGCCCTGCCTCCCCACACGCCCTCGCTGCAGGGCCTCCGATCCAGTTCTGAGATTGCGCCGGGCATCGGTGGAGACCGAGGCCCGCCACGAAACTTGCAAAGATCGATCAGGGAGATGGAAGTCTGGCAGAAAGGAAGATCGATGTTCGTTGCGCGTTGCCGCTCGTTGCCGACTCTTTGGCTGTACCGGCCTATCCTCGATTTGAGGCCTTTGATGTTGGCGTTGACCCTGTAGGGTAATCTACAGGTTCCGCCGCAACCGCTACATTTGCCTGGTGTGATTAGGCTGTGAAGGCAAGCGCTTAAGCGGACAGGAATCGTTTCTTGCCCCAATGCGTCTGGTCTGCAGCATCAACTGCCGTTCCCCGGCAAAAAAAGGGAGAAGGAAGTCTGGCAGAAGCAACCGGCCGGACAAACCCGCATTTCCCGCAGACCAAAAAATCAACGGATCGACACCGAATGTGGGATCATTTCCGATGGTTTGTTCGGGGGGCCATTTTACATATTCGGGGGCCTATTTGGAAGGACCGAAAACCATGCCGTGGCATGGCATTGCAGCCAGAGCACGATTCGGAACGAGCGGAAGCGCGGAAATGAAGCCAGCGCTGCAGCGGGAGCACGATTCGGAACGAGCGGAAGCGCGGAAATGAGGCCAGCGCTGCAGCGGGAGCACGATTCGGAACGAGCGGAAGCGCGGAAATGAGGCCAGCGCTGCAGCGGGAGCAACATGTTGGCCAAAGCGAAAACCCAACTCCCAGGAATCCTGTGTGTGTGTGAGAAGACAGTACGCGGAAGGGGGGCCGGACATTTTCAGAACGTCATCAGGGGAGAGGAGAGTAGTATGCAGATTGTGCAATTGTGGAGGAGGAGGGGGAGGAAGGTGGGGAGGAGGGTGGGGGGAGGAAGAGGAGGACGGGGGGGAGGAGGAGATGGAGGAGGCGGCTCGCGCCAGCGACGCCCGCGCGGGCGAAAAGCGCAGGCGGCGCGAGGACGCGAAGAGATTCGCGCATCGCGGGGCGCGACGGGCGAAGTCACGGGTGACTTGCGGTGGGACCGAGCATGCGACGCTGCTTCGAGCAGCATGCGAAGCTCAGTCTGGCTTAGTTGCGTACGTAGCTGCATACACAGAGTAGCACAGGCGGGAGAGACGGGTTTGTCCGACTCCGGCGTCCAGCGCCTCTCCGACTCATACTCTCCGAGTCTGGCTCCGACCTCACCACGTCCAGCTCGTATCTTTCCGACTGCGGCGTCGATTTACCATTGTCGTCTCTCCGACTCCGGCTCCTACCTTCTCGACCCCTGCGTTCTCTCCGACTCCGGCTCTGACACTCGATTTCGTTCTTCTGACCCCGGCTGCTCAATGCCCCAACTCCAGAGTCTGAGAGGCCAACATCGACGCCCTGGCGCCAACCCGCTGTTTCCGCGCTTCTGCGGGACTGTCTATCTGTCTTCCCAAACGCCGCAGCCGTTTTTAGCCTCAGAGGCCCCGTAAGGGGCCGTGCTGACAGCATGCATTTATTGTACACGCGTTGAGTCCAGTAGAAAGTCCTTGTGGATCGAGGTCGCTTCGGGGAGGGTGCCCCAAAGGTCTTCGTGCTTGTTGGATGTTCTTGTACATCCTGGGGTGGGGCACCCTCGAGTGATCTTGTAGCTTGGGACGTGTTGTCCAGCGGAGGGTCTCATGTTCTTGGAGGACGCTCTTCTGTTCTAGGTTCGGCCGTACTTCGGGTCCTGTTAAGCTGCTCTAGCCTCGACAGAGACGCATAGCGTTAGAAAGTGTAGAACCATCACCCCGAAAGGATTTGGATGTTGCAGGGTTTGGGAGCCACGTGGGCCGCAGCACCCGATACATCCTCATGACTCGACGGTTCTCAGATGTGTCCGACTTCTCTCCATGCTCTTCCAGCCTTCGTCGTGCGAGCCAGCCCAGCTTTGAGGGATGTCTCAAGCTAGCGGAGATCGTTGACCCAGATATTGCAAGATAGCAAACTCGCGCCAGACCAGAATTCAGACAGGAGGGGTGGAGGTCGCCCAAGACAGAGCGGGCTGCGAAGTGTCACATGCCAACGTCCAAGTTTGCGCGGCAGGAGTGGGTGGGGCTAGCTTTGACTGAGCCCCCCTGCGGAGGGGTCATCGAGGATTAGACAGCTGCGTAATTCAGGAGGAGAAAGAACACACAGACACAATTAATCGTCGATTCCCCCAAACATATGGCAAAATATGGGCAGTGGGGGGGAAGACAGAAAGCCAGAAAATATTGGGAAAAATGGTGAATCCTTTTATTTGTGTGTATTGATTTGTGTGTCACCCGGCCCCTTCAATAAGCTACACCTTTCGGGGGTCCGCGCAGATTTCCTGATTGGCTCCAACTAACACTGCCACCGTGCCTTGCCAGGGCCATATCCTGAGCTCTGTGGCGTGTGCGGTGGGGGCGTTCCTTCGGGGATGTACCCAGAGGGCTTCAGACCCTGGACGGTTCCACAGCTGAT